GTATGTATATGTGCGTCTGCACTGATTTTTCATCGCAAGACCCAGAAAAGTTACAAGGCTGAAGCTCTGGCAATATAATTTTACGTGTCCCTATCCTCAAAATGGTCGCTTATGCCCACATTGTTCTCACGTACGGGCCCGTGAGACCTTCTGGCAGGTAAGTTGTCAGCTTGCGAACCAGAAAACTAGAAAGCTGAAATTTTGAGAGATATTTCCTGACAGTGGTGGTGGCCAGTCTCAATTCTTTTCGGTAAAAGCATCTGCCAGAAAAAACAGTGCCATTAGCGATAAAAATTTGTGGGGAACTGTGCAAAAAATGCATCGTCGCACCAGTAGTCGGCACGCTGGCCAGTTAATTTATACCCATGTCGATTATGCCTAGAAGCCATCTCATTTTGGTGCAAACTCTGGTGTGGCTTTTGAGCTTCACGTTAATTTGTCAAGTTCGATTTTGACGAATATGCTTTCGTTCGAGGTCCATAGAATTTTGTATTTTTTTTAGAGTGATTGTATTAACAGTCAGTCCTTTTATAATTGATACGGTACGTCTTAGTGAGTTTTGGATCACTCGAAGTTTTATTGTGGCTTTGCTGTGCAACAGTGAATTTTCGTTAAAGGATTTTTGGAAAAAAAAAAAGAAATGTTTTTTCAGGGCGGAGAGCCGGAATTTGATCCTCAGAATATTCCTGTTCAAATTGACCGCCCGGTATTAACTGTTGGAGAACAAATGCGTTTAGCAGAAGCAATGAATTTGGAACCGCCCGACACAGATTCGTCAGTGGTGAGGCATTTTTGTTCTCTATGGAAATGGGTGATTCAGGAAGTTAACAGTTGGCATCGCCAAACCAGCTGTCGTGTAATAGATCAAATAATAATTAATGCTTTTTTTTGTTAAAAGTGGGTTAAAAAACAACTGCGTTACTATGACATAATACACCTGTCCCTCGTTCAAACTTTGGTCAACCTACCCTCGTTAAACTTCCGACCCCTGACCCCCGGGGTATAAAAGCACTCCACTCCACTGCCGGGATCGCCACTACCCATCCACCACTGCGACCTATTTTTATTTAGTTTGTACTCCTATTTTGGGGAGCTTCGGCTCCCTAGAACCTCACTATCTTCTTTTGTATTATCTTTTTAATATTCGATGTATTAATAAATATTTATATAGGACGCGACGTCGCACACACACATACGCACTCCTACAAACGGGGCACACACTAACCTAATAAGCTAACAGTTAGGGTCGCGATACAGCAAAAATTTCATATTTCAATATATTTAAAAACAAAGGGACATGGGGACTGGTCTGGCGTGGTTACTTTCTCATTGAATACTTTCCAAACGCTTATTTCTTGGGGAATTGCTCAGGGAGGCAAACTAAAGCCGATTTGATTCTTTAGATTTCTGCTAACTTAGTGCCAATTTGTTCGTGAGCCGGAGTTTCATGGAGGGACTAGTCGCATAATCTGCGCTAAAAATTATTATTATTGTTATTATTACTACTGTTATTATCATTATTATTATCATTGTTATTATTGTCGTCGTCACTATTATTATCATCGTCATTATTATTATTTTTTATTATTATTGCTGTTTTATCGTTGAGTTTGTTGTCACATTGATGCTGCCTTGACCTGGCCATCATTGCCCGTAGCACTCACTTCATTTCCTCAGACATTTTATTCGGAGAGTTATGATCATGTTTTTCAGGAGGATCCACGATTCGCTTTGATTGGATCACCGGATGATAGCGACGATTCGGCTAGTG